GTGTATTGTCAGTGAAAAGCGCTGTAATATGTCTTTGATATTACACATTTGGGCAATTCCACGTTAATGTTACGTTAGTCTGTACTTAACTACGTATTTCACTAAAAAATGCAACATTTTAACTCGGTTTTGGTAGATTTTTACGTGACTAACATAAGGCTACTGTGGAAGTGCCCATTTCGGTTACAACGACATTCGTTTATAACGACACTATTTTTAGGTCCCTTTGATGACGTTATAACCAAGTTCTACTGTATTTATATTCTTGGTCTTTAATTTTATATGCGTGAGAGCTTTCTAAGCTTTTTTTTATGATCATACTTGCATGACGTAATTCCTCCAACACATCTTCCAGTTCCCTCCTTGTTATTCTTCCTATACGACGAACATCTTGATCGAGACGTCTCAGGCTTCTGTCAAGATTTGAATCATTATGACTATGGGATGGAACAGCTTGGGTTGTCAGAGACCTAAACGTACAGAAAGTTTCACTTTTAACCAAATGATTACAGTGAAAGCCAGATTTCTAAAAGTAAACTAAAGAGCCTGTAGTGATTACTAGAGAACAGAACAATCAATCAATACCATAATCACTGCCTTTCATGTCTGATAAAGTAAACAAGCTGCAAGAAAAAATATGTTCACAAATTCCACCCTTCTTAATTCACACTGATCAGTTGTACAACTGATTACACATATTAAACTCCTAAAAAATGTGGATAATCTCGATGAAAGAGGTAACATAGGAGAGACATACTGTTACAACTAAGGACATCTGATAAATGAAGGACATAACAACATCCAGCCAATGTCTGAACAAAGCAACAACAAAAAAATGATTACTAACCCCATGGATCAGCCTCTAAAAATTTCCACCTTCTATGGAACCTGCAGTTTCATTACTGTGTTCACAAAAGCCTACCACCTACACATCATTCGTCCTTGGTCCAATAAAATATGCTTATGCAAGATGCATCTGTTGACTATAATCCCAAGCCCCTGCTACTGTATTAAACATTCAATAAGTCACATTACTTCTCACACTGAAATGCCATGTGAGATATATACTGAAATAAGCGTTCATGTACAATACCCATGTGGAAAGCAAGGAAAACATTCCAACATAAATTTCAGGATGCTATGGTTATGAATAGGAAATTATTTACACAACTAAATGCATCCAGACAGACAAGATTATTGAGGATCCAAAAAGGAATCAATATGCCTAGTGAAGACAAGAAACTGGATGAAACCAGTGCTAACCTTGAACATTCCCCTTGAAAATCCCTCAAAACACATTTACATTTATCTTTCATTTCATGGATCCAATCATCTCCCTGTAGGGCTGGATATAAAACATGTCACATATTACAAATTCATGATGACTACAAATCATTCATCCTTGGTCCAATAAAACATAAAACCAAGCCTCAGACAGAATAGCTCAAGCTGCCAGGACAACACACACAGGTTGTGGAAAAACCACAATCAAATTCACACCTTGCCATTTCACACACTGGCAAGATGCAGTTACATTATAAAATATTAAAATTCATAACAAAAAACAGGCATCATACATACTACTACACTTACAACAAGCAAGTCTCAACACTGTATAATTCACAAACACAGACCATTTATTAACTCTTAACTTTTGAGCTACTTACATGCTCAACAAATTCATCAATATACTACAAACCTAAATTGCTTTTTATCATTTTTTTAAAACCATGATATTTGACAGCAGAGTATTAAATAGCTTGATGAGAGTATAATACACCCCTCTCTGATAGGATGATATACAATGGGGTACCAAAAAGAAACTGAACTAATTTTTTTGTGGGCAGAGCTTTTGTAGTACCGCGGTTTGCCGCTATGAGCGCACAGAGCTAACATTCCTGAGTCGATAAGCCAACTACCGTTGCTTCAGAAGGTAAGGACTAGTTTCGGCAAAGTTTATAGTGACAACTGTTTTGTGTGATCGTCGTTTTTGCAATGGCTGATTTCTGAGAACAGCGTGCGGCGGTGAAATTCTGCTTTTTGCTCGGGAAAAGTGGAACAGAAACTCTTGAAATGTTAAAAACGGCGTACAAGGATGATGCTATGGGGAAAACTCAAGTGTTGGAGTGGTTTTCCTGTTTCAAAAATGGTGAAAAGTCAATTGATGACAAACCTCGTTCTGGTCGTCCTTCCACGGCCCAAACACATGAAAATGTTGAAAAAATTCGTGAAATCATCAAGGAAGATCGACGATGGACCATTGAAGAAATTGTGGAGCTGTCGGGCGTGAC